GTGTAAATGTGGTTTATCTCTGTCTGTTGATGGCTGATTTGTGTGAATGCCAAGCTTCCAGGAATTCCTAAGAATTTTTGGATTTAGCTTGGTCTAGGATTCTCATAGTTTCCCAGTTGAAACTATGGTTGAGTCTGTCCATGTGTTGTGAGATTAAGGAGTTTTCATCATGTCTTCTGACTGCTAGTTGGTGTTCATGGATACACTCTGATAGTTTTCTGCCTGTCTGTCCTACATAGTGGCTGTTACAGTCCTTACACTGTATGTTGTAGATGACTCCTGTTTTTTCTTCTTGGGCTAACTGGGTCTTTTGGTTTACTTAGGATGTTTTGGAGGGCTTTAGTTGGTTTGTGTGCTATGGTGATGCAGTGTAGTTGTAATAGTCTGTTGGTTGCTTTTGAGATGTTTCTGATATATGGCAGTGTTACCCTTTTCATAGCTTGTGTTGGTTATGCTCCACTTTGTATTCTTTCTACATGAATGCCTATGGTAGCGTGCCTTACTCATCAATATCAGATACAAACCTCCAATAAACTACACAGCTGCATGGAAAAATAGCTCAAGAAGGTGGCCGAAAAATGATACGGCTAATGATCATGGATGCTCACCTCACACTAAACAAATATGAACACATCACAGATAACCTCAAGGAGCAACTGGAACAAACCATGACCCCAGAACACACAAAAATGCTGACAACTTCTATCTTCAGTTGTCAGGATTGATCTCATTTTAGTCAAGCAAAATATAATAAAATGTCAGGAAATCCTTATACTTATAAAGTGATCAAAGCACCTAAATATAAAATTCCACAATGTTATATGGATTACCCAAATCAACTCAGGAGCAAAAGGAGACTTAGGGGGGAAACCCCCCCCCCCATGGCCCCTGTGATCTATTTCAAATGCTGTCAAAAAAGGAAGCAGGACTATATACTAGGTCCAGGCTAATAAATTACCAGATGATAGAGATGGATGAGGAGGAAATAAATAGTTGCACTCCATGCACTTAAGCAATGATTTTCTTTTTTCACTCCCATTACTTCTGCATTTTTCATTATTATTTTTCTTTTGTTCAAGATCAAGGTCATTTTGTAATGGTATTCAATAGAAAACACTATGCTTTTGTTCATTTCTTCAGGAAGAGAAAAATGTCCATATAATAATGTTTTCTTTTTTAAAACAATCTAAATTATTCCTATAGCTTTAATCCTCTACTATATGAAGTTAGAGCTAGTTTTGTGAGATAGTGCAAAAGACATTATTGTCTATCGTTTGCCTATATCGCTTAATTTTAAGTAATATTTTGAGATAAATGGAAGTTTGAATTCTAGAGCCAAAGGAGGAAATCTTGGGAGCTGTTTCTTCTATCATGTAAATACTACATTGATTGTACAGTATTTTTTTTTTAACTTGTTCATTGATATATTGAGGAAAATGATCAAAGCTATGTATTTGCATGTGGTAAAAGTACATAGTACATAGAACAAAAAGTTTGGGATTCCCTGGTATGAAACAGGCTCACTTTTTTTCCAACCCTACTGTAGTTGCATTCCTAAGTGTTATCTGTTTTGTTGTGGCATTTTAACTTATATGTAGAGAGAGAGAGAGAGAGAGGGAGAGAGAGAATTTTTTTTACAGAATTAAAAACTACAGAAACAACGGATTAGAAAAAAGAAAAATACATGAAAAGATTAAAAAAAGTCAAAAGCAGGACAAGTCAAAAGAAGAGAAGGAAAAAGAAAGAAAAAGAAAGGTATTTAAAGAAGCAACTTCCAATCTTCTTTACAACAGTTACGAACATTATCATTTCTGCCCTCCTAAATTATCTGTCATGATTCTCTTCTTCCTATAAACAACACTTCTTAAGTAGTAAATCCAGAGATCATCAGTTCATTTTTGTCCATTGTACCAGCAACATGGGGTCCTCTGGGGAGAGATGCCTTATATGATGCCTGTAACTCGCCAGCTGATTTTAAATAAATAATAATTTATTCATATATTTATTTACTTGATTTATTAGTTGTCCATCTCCTTTTATCCAAGCAACTCCAGGTGGCATACAAGGTTAAAAACAATCAATAAATATATTAAAAAGTATAAAAAATATTTTAAAAAACCAAGTAAAACAGAAAATAATAGATGAAGGGATGTTAAAACTAATGAATGATAATGATAATGTAACCTCCTTAGGTGCAATCCCAAAATGTCTGGAGCACCACCTGAAGTCCATTAGCATTGACAAAATCACCATCAGTCAGTTGTAAAAGGCAGCTTTACTTGGAACAGCTTACATCCTGCGATAATACTTTTACCACCATCAAACAACAACATCTGCCTATCCCAGGTCCTTGGGAAGGAC